CTTTGAAGGCGGCAGGCTTTTGTGACCTCCAAGACATTGCGTGTGCGCAATGGGGACAATCCATTCAAAATACTTGCAAGTTTGTCACCAGAAAGGACTACTGCTTCATCTCGCGAGAACTCCAACACCTTTTGAAAGAAGTGCATGTGGCTGCTGATATTTTTCCCGACCATGCAGTACTTTGGGGCGTGTTTCATAGCCTTGCCCAGGTTCTACCACGGCAGGTTTGGTTTACACCGAAGCAATTTCCATGGCCAGGATCATGGAATGTGGACCCATCCTTTTGGAATAACCTGCCAGGCAACTGTGATGACAAGTATCATGCCCTGTGGAACCACATTGAAACCCAAGCAGTCAAAGAGATGCCGTTTGCCCCTCCTAAGCAAACGATGGGTAGGGCAAGGACCACAAAAACCAATTTAGTCCAAGAAGGGAAAGTCTCACCATTAAAACGTGCAAGAGAGGGTGAAGTTCAGCCACATTTTGTCGCCGCCACCTTTCGTCATGCCCAGTGGCTTCGACAAGCACGACGACTGCAGGCGTATGTCAAATATGTGGCTGCACATGGTACACACACTGAGCATGCTAGGGCACTTTGGGGATCCATAGTTAGAGCTGCGGGGTTCAAGCCGTCCTTTATGGTTTGGTGGAGAGAAAGCCCATGGAAGACATGTGGGGCCCCTGCCCTCTTGCCATTGATTCCCCCTGACATGGTGGTAGGATCACGTGTGTTTGACACTGTCATGCTGGCCTTCCGAGCGTTGGAACAAGAGTTGACAAAATCCTCACGCCAATATGCCAGACTGAAACGCGAGCAGAACCCAAACATTATTTTCCAGGACATCAGATCATATGCCAACAAAGGTGTAGAGGTCTTGCTGAAGGCCACATCCGTTGCTATCACTGAAGTCCGGCATGATGAAGGCGCCGTGGTTTTACAGAGGCCAGTTGAGTTTGATCACACCAAACCCATTGTTTGCTGTGGAAAGCCACTTTCTGTAATCCACCACGGAGCGGATTGTGTTTGGGTTGAGGAAACTTCCAACTTGGAGCCTGGCATGACCATTGCTCAGTCGTGCCATAAGGGAACCACTGATGAGTTGTTTCACATTTTCCTTGAGGCGTGGAGATCCATGTGGGGACGACACCAAAACGTCCCGCTTGCACGTTGGAAAACAATCCTGGATTTTGCTCGGGCCCAACTCCCTTGCCTGGCCCTGGACTGGGCATCGCTGGATGCCGGCACTCTGGCTTCGTGTATCACTCGGAAGAAAAAGACCACTACTGCTGGCCTTGACGGAGTTTCCATTGTAGATTTGCGAAGTATGTGCCCTGCGGCTCTGTCCAATTTCACTGCGCTGTATTTGCAGGCTGAAAGCACTGGTGAATGGCCCACCCAAATGCTTGCAGGGAGGGTCACATGCCTTGCTAAAGTTGAGGAACCATGCCATGCCTTGGATTTTCGACCTATTACGGTCATTGGGATTTTGTTTCGATGCTGGGGCACCCATCATGCCAAGAAGGCCATCCGTCATCTGGATGAGCACTTGCCGCAAGGACTGTTTGGAAGCCGGCCTACTCGTTATGCCGGCCAGGTATGGTCCCATTTGTTGTGGTGCATCGAGCAGGCATATGAAAATCAACTTCCTTTGAGTGGCATCATAGCTGACATTCGCAAAGCTTTTAATTACCTCCCGAGGTTGGTGGTGCTTGAAGCCTGTGCTTTGTTTGGAATCCCCATGAAAGTCTTGGTGGCCTGGGCAGGGGCGTTAGCTAACATGCCTCGCCGGTTTCAGTTTCATGGTAACACCAGCCAGCCGGCCTACAGTACTTGTGGTCTCCCGGAAGGATGTGCGCTGAGTTGCCTGGGCATGATTATCATTGACACTTTGTTTCACAAATGGATGGTTCATTTTTTCCCTATGTGCCAACCTTTGTCATACGTTGATGACTGGCAAATCATTGTGGCTGACCCTCATCGGATTCCTGGTGTATTTGCCTGCATGGAAAGATTCGTTGGTGAAATTGATCTCCTGTTGGATTCACGTAAGACTCACACATGGTCAATCCAGGCAGCTGGTCGTGCACACATAAGGGATCAGGGCTTTGATGCCAGTCCCCATGGGAAAAATTTGGGGGCTCATGTCCAATACTCCCGTCAGCACACCAATAAAGCCCTGATGGCAAGGGTTGCGGAAGTTGCCCCCCTATGGGCGAAGCTTAGATTGTCTGCTTGTGCCTATGTGCAAAAGGTCAGGGCAGTGTTATGTGCAGCGTGGCCTAGGGCCATGCACGGCATTGCAGCCACCACCATGAGTCTCACCACGTTCCAAAACTTGCGGGCCGGAGCCATGCGTGGACTCAAGGAGGACAGTGCGGGGGCCAATGCTCAGGTCCACCTAGGCTTGATAGAGAGAGCCACCACAGACCCGCATTGTTGGGCAATCTTGCAAACCTTCCGGCTTACAAGGGATTGTGGATCGCCCATGAGGGTGGAACCTTTGCTAGCTGCCCTTGCTGGAGAACAGGTCAGCCTACCGGGTAACACAATCACCCAAACCTTGCTCCATAGGATCCAAATCCTGGGTTGGCATGTTACCTTGAGTGGAGCCCTGAACGACTTCTTTGGGTCCTTTTCTCTCTTTGAGGTGTCCATTACTGAACTGATCTATCGCGTGGAATTCCAGTGGACCTATGTTGTGGCTCATGCTGTTTCACACCGCCCGTGTTTTCATGGCCTGGAAGGTTGCGATCCTAGTTCAACCAGGGACTGGCTCGCGAGCTTAGATGTTTCTGACCGTGCCTTGTTCCGTAAAGTTCTGAACGGAACGCACATAACGCAGGATGGTAAGAAGTACTGCCAAGAAGCCACAACAGATGTTTGCCCTTTCTGTGAGTGTAGCGACAGCCGTTACCATAGATTCTGGGAGTGCGAGTATTTTGGTAACTACCGCCAACATCTCACACGCGGTGAAAGAGAGACAGTTCGAGACCTGCCAGCGGCTCTGACATGTTCAGGATGGTCAATCCATCCGACTACGCAGTTTGCTTGGAACACGTATTTTGCAACCATGACTGAAGCCCCACTTGGCCCCATCCATGGCCAGGATAATTTGCATTTGTTTACGGACGGCAGTTGTGTTGACCAACACTTGCCCTCCCAAAGATTTGCAGCGTGGTCATTGATAAGGGCTGGCACTAGCACAGATACTGCTGAAGGGACTGCGGTCTTGGCGGCCCAGCCCCTACCAGGGCTTTTGCAAAGTGCGGTGCGAGCTGAGGTGTATGCTGTGCTCCAAGCTCTTCGAGTCACGGCGGAATATGATGGCCCCGTTTTTATATGGACTGACAGTGATGTCGTAGTCCGTCGGTTCAGACGAATACAAGCAGGGCATACGGTTCTCACCAATAGTGCGCATGCAGACCTTTGGAAGGAAATTGCTCAACTCCTTCATGCCTGTAATCACCCTTGCCAGATCACACATGTTTCTGCCCACCGTGACCCTTGTGCTGCGGAAAACTTTTTGCAGGAATGGTGTTTTGTGCATAATGCATTGGCAGACAGGATGGCGGTCCAGGCCAACTATTCCCGTGACAGGTCCTTTTGGCAACTATGGGCGACTCACCAACAGGCGTGTCAGGTGGTTGCACACTACAACCGGTTGGTTCAAGGGGTACAATTGACCATTAGCCAGGCTGTAGTTCGCATGGAGAAGCCGATTGCTTTGGAAGAAGCAGGTGAAAACGCTGAAGAGGTGCCGGTGGATATGGTGTGGGATCCGCTTCCCCCGCTTCAAATCCCAGTGGCAGCAGTTCGGTGGTATGGGGACCCAATGGTGCGTAGCATTGTCAGCTGGTTCTGGCAAGGGCTTAGTGAAGGTGATGCTAACCTGGTTCCTGTTTCGCATTTCCAATTGTACGCTGACTACATGCTTGCAACAGGGTTGCCTGGCCCAGTGCACTTGCATCCTGGACCCCGTTGGCTGGATGGTCAAGATGTTGCCAACCTTGAGCTGCGTGGATTTGGGTATAAACAGAGAACACTGTGGTTTACCAAGGTTTGGAAAGAAGTGCTACGACACCAGGGCATTGCGCTGAGGTATGGATATCAAAGACCCCGATCGCAAATGATCCTGATGTATACAGGCGTCGCCTTTCTGCCTTGGCCGCGATATCGTATCACTGCTGTTGACAAATGGATGTTAGGCATTTCAGGTGTCACCTTCAGCCGCCAGACCAAGCTCCTGGATGCCTTACCATTTGCTCGACAACATTGCCAGTTTCCACCGTTTGTTCTCACCTCCTATGGTTTGTAACCACACCCAAGACGGGTAGCGTCTCACCAACGCTACGCGCATCGCAAAGTGTGAACAAAGTGTGGTGGTTTGGAACATGACTCTTATTTTTCCATATATTGGGAATGTCATCATCCCAACTGACTTTCATATTTTTTCAGAGGGGTGGGTATACCACCAACCAGTTGAGTCATTGACCACGAAGCACCTGCAGCAACTGCAGGCTCAGATTCCAGGTTCCGTGACCATCCGCCCTCTTATCCCTGAAATATCCGACTGTCAAATCAAAGGAAAATCCACGTTCTTTTGAAGAACCAATGAATGAACCAATGAATGAACAGATGTGTACAAATAAACAAGTTAGAATACACAGATACACATAGATAGAGAACGGAGTTGTCTTTTTCAAATAGGGTACCCCGACATAGCTCAAAAATCAAGTATCCCCTGTTTTTGGACAGCCCCACATTCTTAATTTTTGATGGCTAAATATTCTCCAAGTCTTGCTGATTACACACCCGTGACTGATTTTGGACGAGCCCAGACAGAACCATTAAAATATATACATTAAATCCCATGAAATTCCATTGAACCCCATTAAATTTCATTAAAATACCCATTAAGAATATATATACCCATTAAATCCCACTGCCCCTTGCGAAGACTTCCAGCCCTCTCCAGCCCTCTCCAGCCCTCGCAGCTCAGGGTCGACGTCATTTCCTGCAACGGTGTGCTGACGGCTTTGGGTCGAGGAACTGCTTGGCAGCAGCTTGGCGAGATCTGAGAGGCGATATCATCATTTGACAGTGATCAAGTGATCAATGTCATGTTGGTAAAAGATATATAATAATAATAAATAATGATAATAATGATAATAATAATGATAATAATAGTAATAGTAATCATAATATTAATAATAATAAACCGCCTCCAATTTCACGATAAATACGTGGTATAAACATGAACCTAAACCATTATAAACCATCCCCAAATGGCTGGTTTATAATTGTTTTATCCCCCATTATACTGTATGATTTATAACTGATGCTGGAACATGGGGACGAGGTCTACATGGATCATTGCATTGATTATTATGATTCTGATCATCGTTATTTGTACCAGAAGATCAAGATACACACGAGCAACATTTGATGACCCCATCTTATAATGATACATATGTATATATTATATACATATATGGATGGGGCTAATGACAACAATGGGTTTGGGAAAACAATCAATGATGACCTTAGCTCAGTTTTGGAATCAGGATACCTCATCTGTGGTCGACCCATCCACATTTAACCAAGGCTGTTGCTCTGGGAGATGGGTCAAATGCTATCTGTTCATGTTTTTTTTGTAAACCCAGCAACAGACTCCAACTTTTGGAAGTTTAAAAAAAGACCCCAAGCAGTATGGGGTTATGTTTGGTTTATTCTGGGTATCTAGGGAACTGCAAACTTGACCATCACGTTGTTGGCATGTTCTCCTACTTGGGCAACATCAAGTGTTGTTACTCGGGCGGTCGAAACCGGCGTTGAAACTGACCCTTTCAGAAACCGAGAAAATGTTCATGTGGCCCATGTCATATACAACAATTTTGTTGAAGTTCATGTTTATCCATGTTTATCCATGTTTAACCTCCATTTTTCCATATTTTTTCCAGGTTGATCCTTGTTGTAATCTGTTTTTTTTTCGGCCTTCCCGTCATTTGAGGCGTGCAACAGAGCTTTTGACAGAGATGAGGCGTCTTCCCGCGTCAGGATGCAAATAGCCAGTCAATTTTTTGGGGAATTTCATGGGACTTAGCCAATTCAGAGGGATTGTATGGCAAAGTGCCATTATGGGGAAGCTAAAGATATAGTTGATTGGGGATAAACAGCTAGTATATCTAATATTTGCTGGGATACATCCAATATTGCATTAACCAATTATTAACTCATCGAATTTATGGGTGGTTGAACTATCAAAGATATGTTGATAAACGATGCTTGATTGGTAAATATGCGGGGTTCCCAACCTACCTGGTGAATTGGGGATCCTGAACATCCAGAACAGGGATACCCATTTACCAACCAGTATGATGATGAAATAGGGGTATTTGTCATAACTCAGCTGCAACAAACATGGAACGATCATGAAGATATCACTGACATGATTGGTTGACCCATAATGGGGGATGATATTGTTACACTATGAGTTGCCAAAAACCATGCCAAAAACCATGGCAATAGCATCAACCAATGGCATGCTAAATCAACCTTGCTTGGTTGGGCATTCTGCCTGCTGCGGATGTTTTTCGTAGCTTCGTGCCCAGGTAGAAGTAATGAGGACAAATAGCGACTAAATGTGAGGATAGTTTGAAAAAACAAGGACAAGAAGGACAAAAAACACACCCTTCTCAATAGTCAATAGGTAAATCACCGCAAATCAGCTATCATCGGGCAGTTTTCCATAGCTGTGTAACAAACTACCGGAGGGGACATGCCCTCCAAACCGCTAAAGGGAAGCTGTGGCAGCAGAAGCATTTATCGAGGGCAGTATCCTCATCCCACTACTCTCTGCTAAGCGTTTACAGTTTGCGAACTGGAAACTCAGCATTAAAAAAACGGTAAATCAACATATGGTAATCCGTTTTTGAAAATGCTGAGTTTCTGGATGATTGCATTACTAACTATTTCTATAGATACCCTCTGGTAAGCTGCCACAAAACTGTGGAAAATCACCATTCTATAGCTGGGTAAATCAACGATTTCTATGGTCCATGGCTTCAACAGCTGTTACACTCCACCTCACGACGCCTCACGACGGACGCAAGGCTGGAAGGAGCCATGGCGTTGCCGTCTCCCAACGTGGTGTCCTTCAACGCCACGTTGTCCGCTGCAGCGCGAGGGGTCAGCCGGGGTAGCCGGGCCATGGGACCCATGGTTTTCCCCTGAACCAATCCATTGAAGCGATGGAAAATCACCATTTTTCATAGGTAATGAGGTACTCTCTGGTACTTGTATGGTACAGAGCTATGGAAAATCACTATATTTATCTCTAATATTCAATATAGCTATATCATCAGAAATCATCTAAGTGCCATGGCTTACATAGCACACTGTGAAATAGCCATAGGGTATATCTGATGATATATATATATATATTTATACACGTTAAGTATCCAATAAATGCAAGACCAATGCAAGATACAATTCAATATTGATAATACCGGGATAATTTATGGAATATCTTGGAATGGTAATCAAATTTAAAACGATATATAGCAGGATGATATCCAACCAGCTTCAAAAGAATGGATGAAACTGCTAGGGGGAATCTTACCTTATTTGGGGTTGGTGAATTCTCAAAAACTTCATCCAGAGAAATGATGTGAAGGATGTGAAGCAAATAGAAAAAGAGCTTTAAAAAACATGATTTTTTTGAGGGTTTCTCCACAAGTTGGTGATTTAATCAATACATTTTTTTTTATTATCCGTATCAACCACAATGTTCATCCCATATTCTCCCAAATAAATCCCTATCAATCTCTACACATCTCAATCAAATCTCCATACATCCCCTTTTTCAATGCCCATAAATCCCTCTAAAAATCCAGCAACATTGTTTCCAATACATCCCCCATAAATCCCCTATCAATCCCTTATAAATCCCTTAAATCCCCATACGATCCACCAGAACGCCTGTGATTTCCAGAGGCTGAGTGGTCGCTAGCCCTTCAGCTCTTGAAGGAGCTGAATGTGGGCAACCCATCAGCAACCCAAAAAAAATACGAAAATCATACCCTCTGGTAAACTAACAGTTTGCAATGGAAAGATCCACCATTTTTTCATGGGAAAATCCACTATTTCTATGGCCATTTTCCATTGCTTTTTGTATGTTCACCAGAGGGTAATTATAACCATATTTGGGATCATCATATGGGATCATTTTAAAGTCATTATAACCATTCATAAGCCTATAATTTATGGCTGGTTGCTGGTGACTGGAACCATGGGAATTTTGTTTATGACTTTCCAGAAACACTTGGGAATTTATTTCATCATCCCAACTGACGAACACTCCATGATTTTTCAGAGGGGTAGGGCTCAACCACCAAGCAGTATCAATAAATGGTGAAAAAACACCAGGGGTTTTGATGGTATGATGGGGATGTTATTCAGATAATATAAATACTGTGAGCAACCCAATGTCATACACCTAGCATGACTGAGGATGGATGAAATCCCACTAGGACTGAAGCTTGGTTGAAAATTATGGTGGCACGGTCATGACCTCGCTGGTAAATCTGTTCGTAAATATGTAACCATAGTTATGTATGCAATACTTATATAATTACATAATACAGATGATATTACTTTAATACACAATAGATATAAGTATAATATCGTCATGGTCTTGTGAAAGATTCCAGATAAACTACCACGAGTTCGCGTTTTTTTTGGGCCGACGTCACCGAGCTCGCGACTTTTTTGGATCTCCACGGTGATGTTAACACAGGCAAGCACCAGCGAAGAGACCCCGCCGAAGCAAAAAAAGTGAGAGTCCCAGTAAGGACAAACTTACATCTGTACGGATCGCTACTATGATGGGTACATCTGGGTACTATCCTGAGCCGATCCGTTTTTGCGTACAATACACGCCTCTGCTGCTTTGAGACGTCATGGGGGTGCACAGTCAAAGAGTGGCATAACGGAGATCATAAAGCGAATCATCATGGTTACAGTAGTACCAACAAAGTTGTGATGCGTTCAAACTGACCATTTTTGGAGATATTGTATATGATTTAAGGATAATTTCAGTAGTTGACCACTCTATGTATGTTTGGGGAGGCTCACCCAAGTGTAGATGATCTACCATTTTTCTATGCATGGCCACCATGCCACGGCTACGTTCACAAGAGAGTCCACCAATATGCAAAAGCTAGCTAACGGTTAATACCTAGGTGAGCACTTTTTTTGGTTTATACGATGGATATATCGAACTGATGATTTGGGTGTGTAAACTGTAAACCAAACAGTTTGTGTTTGGGGACCTACTTTCTGATGAACATTTGCTGACAGACCCCCGCAGAATTTTACAGTCCGCCATCCTGAGGAGATGCAAAGTTCATTTGTGGGGCAGCTCAGATGGACACCAAACATCAGGGAAAACACAGGATGTTTGAGGAAAATGGTGATTTATTGGTGATTTAATGGGACTTTCACCATTAAAATTGTGATCTAATGGATTTAAAATGGTGATTTAATGGTGATTTATTGGTGATTTAATGGGATACAATCTGAATTAGCCACTTCACATCGTGACCGCCTGGAATCATGCTGATCATGGTGATCAATTGGTGGATGAGTTGCGCGAACTTTTTGGATAACCAACATTGGAATTGAAGCCAAAGAAATCTGGGTTTATAAAAAAAACAAATAAACATGGGTAAGTTGGGATCTAAGATGGGTAATCAAGTTGGTTTACAGTTAGGCAAACATTTGGGCTTATGCCTTATATCCACAGTTGGAGGGCTGAAAATAGACTAACTTGTGAATGTTGCGGAACTAGCCTGTTTGTGACTGTGGAAACCGATGGTACCTCATTCTTACAATTGTTTTAAGAAAGAAATTGCAGCAGACACCAAAGGCCCTTCATCATCAAATTGCTGACAAAAAATGTATCCTGTAGATTTTTGTTCAAGTCAACGATTTGCTGAATGAGTCATTGTCGTTGTAATAAGTGGAGAGACGTGTTTTCACACCCAGATCGATTTTGTCCATATCATTTTTCCAGGTTCCCCATATGCTGGCTAGATTAGATCCGATGTTTGCTTAGCGTTTGGTGGACGGTATGGATCAACGCTTATTACACCATATTTGGGGAGACATCCTTTTGCAAACTATTTGGTGTTCAGCAGGGACGCAGGGTTTTGACCCATATCCATATTTTGATCTCTTATTCCATTGTTTTTCCATGTATATATATTCATTGAAACCCTAATATAATATAATATAATATAATATAATATAATATAATATAATATATATATATAATATAATATAATATAATATAATATAATATAATATAATTTAATATAATATATAGTATTATATAATATAATATAATATAATATATATATAATATAATATAATATAATATAATAGAATAGAATAGAATATAATATAATATAATATATATATATGTATTATGTATTCATCTTTATCTCAGTATATCCATACAAGTCTTGCATCTTTCTCCGACACCATCTCCACAAAAACTCCCCAGGTGTCTCCAGACATCATTTCGCTGGGGGCATCCATCAATGCCTTCGAACCCAGCAGGTGGGGTTATAATCCCCGATTCCGCCCATCCATGGATGAGAACAGTGTCGGAATGGATATGGATGGGTTGCTGGGGTTGCTGGGATGATCCGCTTGATAGCCAGTGGATCATTCCCGAAAATTCCCTGCGTTTACCACGCACCAGACAATTGATGGGTGGGATGATCTCATTCCAGAAGCATGGGAGATGTTCCTATGGCTCTGAAGATTCCAGCCGCTGCCAGCCTAACTCGGGGATGATTTGTCATGGGGTTTGCCACATCAGTTCGAATCATTCGTGAAGTACTTGAAGTCTTTCAAGGAGGTGACCCTTTTCTGCAGGGAGTTGCTTAGATTTCCATATTCTGTTGGTGATATCCTCTCTTCTTGGCTCATTTGGAGGGATAATAACATGTTGTTTCCGCATTGTTTGCAGTAGGGCAGTGGACTTTTTCCATGTTTTAACCAGTTTTTTTCTGCGGAATTTCTGCAAGGCCCCTTCTGACGACGTACGAATGGGGTATGTTTTGACAGGGGGCTCAGGGCCTGTGGATCTATAGGGATGGAGTCCTGGTCTTCAGGACTTCTTGCCGCAAAGAATTCACCATCGCCAATGGGAAAGTTCCAGTTAAATTCTTTTCCCAGATTTTTTAAGAAAAGATTTCATGGATATGGTGAGAAAAGTATCTGACTCCCTTTGTTCAACTTTTTCCCCCCTGAGGGCAACTGATTGAAGTCACATTATTTACTGGTTGGTGGTTTGGAACATGACTTTTATTTTTCCATTCAGTTGGGAATGTCATCATCCCAACTGACTTTCACTCCATCATTTTTTTCAGAGGGGTAGGCTCAACCACCAACCAGATTATTCACAGTTGTTAGCCATATTAACCATTATTAACCATACATATAGGAATTGTTAGCACATGAGTAACCATTATTAACCATCATGAACCAGTATTAACCATGGAAATCCCATTAAAATCCCATTAAATACCCATTAAATACCCAGTTTCGCTTATTTTTCCATGGGTAAATCTGTGGTATCGCCTGTTGAAGTCCAGCCAACTTCGCCAGGTCTTGGCAACAGGTCTTAGAACTCATAGGCGCGGCCCATCGCGGGGCCCCCCTTGGTGTTGATAGCCAACAGCCAAGCAGGATATGGGTTTGTCTGAAAATAGGGTATATTCCCAATTATAGCCATTTAATAGGGACAATGATCATTAACCATTGGGTTTAGGGGTACACTATTTTCAGACACACCCATATG